GTAAAATACAGGAAACTGTAAAATTTTACCGCGAGACGCCAAATCGGCCAGATTTACAGTCGCGACTGTAAAATACAGTTTTGACGAATTAGCCAATAACATGCTATCTATGGATAATTTTATCCAATCATGTGCGTTATGGAGTCAACAATCAGTTGGTTCAGAAATGGAATCAGCCAAGGCCGTCCGTGGCTCCAACTTCACGACCGACGAAGACTGCCAGCTTGTCCGGTCATGGATCAACATCTCTCAAGATGCGTCCAAGGGTAGCGGTCAGAAGTCAGACCAATTCTGGTCGCGTATCGAAACCAACTTCAATCAGTACTCCGACGGCGCAATCCATTGGATTGGGGCCAAAGTAGTCACGGTAAATCCGAGCATGCGCAGCCTCGCTATCTCGTGGTAGGTTTGGCTGGCGGTTGGCAGTAGAGCCTTTAGGGCGCGCAGAAGACTGATGAAAGCCAAGAATCTCCCAAGCTTGATCCATGTCATCATCGTCGTCCTCCCACGCCATCATGCCTTCGCACAAACGTGCGCGCCAGGCGTTCATTTCCGGATAAGAACGTTATTCGGATATTTTTCAGTTTTACCGCTGGGGTTGACAAAAAACAAAATACAGGAACTGTAAAACTGTATTTTACAGTCTGATTATACAGTCGCACCGGTGGGGATGCCCTAAGTTCTCATCAAGAAGTATTATATTACATTTGATTTACATGCGTATCATTCATCGTTCTTGTGTGCGCAGATTCAACAGAGTCAAAGTGTGTGGCAAATACAAATACCTTTATCGCTGCAAGCGAAAGATAAGATTATAAGGGTTTCGTAGACATTTCGTAAACCCCTCATTATCTCTAAATATATCGATATATGCGTAGTAATAGGTTCTTGTTTTCCTCGTCCAAATACCGATATATCTTCTCGTGAATCACCACGGAATACAGTAGCCGGGACGGAGCTCGGGACCAATTGCAATGACTGGTACCCGTTGTTTGACAAGTAACTAGTACCAGTCTGTCTGATGATACCTTCGCGATTGAACCTACAACATGTAGTATGTGGTGGTACAATGGATAACCTGGTGAAATGTTGGGTGATTGTTGCAAGTAGTACAAGTACTTCGAGTGTGATGGGTGAAAGATAAGCATGGGGCATGATAAGGGTACTTCGAGTGTGATGGGTGAAAGATAAGCATGGGGCATGATAAGGCAATGCAAAAAATATTTTGATGTCAATAGTGGTTCGCTATCGCAAACCACTGATGTAAACGTGCGTGCGAAGAGGAAGGCGCAGTAGTTGGTAAAGTGAGAAGTGATTTGATAGCGTTATGACAACTGAGATGCCTTAACCCCTAGCTGACATGCCCTGCTGTGCATTGCTACAACCGTATTTTACGACTCAATGTTGAGTGTGGTACACCGTTTGGCAACCTCTAAATTTTTTATTTGCTCCATTGGTGATCCCTCCAGATTATGCATACCCTTTTATATACTGTATATTATCCACATAGTGGCGCGATATTTGAAAATGACAATTTGAATGAAGGGTTTTGAAATCTGAAACACCACACCCAATCACAGAAAATTTGACGACATGCCTCGACCCACGCGGCGCAAGCCCAAAGAGTACAAATACTCGAGGTACATGTACGAGCAGAAGCGTGTCATCTTGCAATACAGGGACTCCCACATTCAGGCTCCATTTCGTCCGATTCGGTTTCACTCGATCAAAACGCATATATATCTCGAAAACATATACTCCCCACAACGCATTCGAATTGCCAATCAAAGTTGAAAACGTCGGAACAGAAACTGGTGATGCGCAACGGAGTACCACAGTCAACATTGAGTCGAAAAATACGGTAGGGACGTAGCAAGTCCTCACTTTCCAGACTTGAACTTCGATTCGAATTCCGAAGATTTCAGACTTTGCTCGAAAGATACTGTAGTATAAAAAGTGGGGAAGTTTGCAGGCTTTCATCCCTAAGGTCCGTGAAGTATCATAGCCAATCAAAATGAGATGTGGCAGGGTGATGAACGTCAACTTTCCACAGCTCAATTTGATCGACCATGGGAAAGCCCATGGAAAAGCAGCTCGCCTGGAGCACCGAGATGGACCTAGCTCTGCTTCGTGAGGTTCTTCGTGTTGAGTCGTACGACGGGCGAGTACGGTACACTGACTCTGCGCGGAAAGACTGTCGCCGCCAACATCTCTGTGTGCTTTGAGATGGACATTCCACACCACTCTGCCCAAGACCACTACGAGTTCATGTTGGAAACGTTCAAGTCATCCGACAGGGCGCAACGACTGTGGGGAACGGGCAGCGAAGAAGAGGTCACGGAGCAAGTTCAGCTGTTGCAGGACCTTGTCGATCGCCGCGAAGTAAATGATCAAGCAAAGAAGGCAAAGAAAGAGAAGGACCCGAAACGGCGTGACTCAATGGAATCGACGGAGTCTCAATTATGCCTGGAGGCAGAACAGCGCGTTGCCAAACGGCAGCGTACTGAGGGACTGCTCAAAAGAAGGAGGAGTATGACTCGGCTCTTCAGGATTTACTTATTTTTAAAACAAAAACACTCTGACGATCATAGTTATAGAGTGGAGCGCCTCGAGTTCGACAAGGAAGAGCAAAAGATTCGCTTGGCTCAAATGTCCGAGAGTGCTAAGCGCAACGACCAACTCGAACGTCTCTTGATTGAGATGGGAAAGTTAACGTTAATCCAAGTTGTTGCTGAAAAGTCGAAATAGCAAGATCAATTTACAACTTGAAGTATTCATTCCATGTTAACAAGCAAATATTCTTCTAATGACGGTGGGGGTAAACCAAAGTACACGCTAACGTGATCGACCAGAGATGGGCCGAAATTTTTCGATTTTCGTTGATGAATTCGTCCACGGGTATTTGTGCTACAGGTATGACCATGACATATTCTGAACGGCTGCGTCAAGCACTATCAGACGCAATCGGTTTAGACAGTTCATGTTCGCAGAAATAGATTCCAAAGTTGCAGAATTTCCATCGAGTCCCAGTGATGGGCCGAATTTTATACTTGATTTAATTATTGAATAGGGTTGTAGCAAACCATGACCAGCAACCTGAAAATTATAAATTGATAAAGGAATATCATATCTCGAAAGGAATAAGATTTTGAAGAATTATGTCAACCAATCTTCGAACGGATGAAACTCACCAGGCCATCAATTCTCCTCACAGAGTACGGGCGCAGGCAGAAAAACTTGGCTGGTTATGCTGTGCCTGAATGGTTGGTTTTCTTTGTCAACGAGTGATGCCAATAAAAGTTTCTCATTTCTCGATTTTCCTCCCTGGCGCCCATTGCGGGTGCCTGCAGCGTAATGTTCGTCATCATGAAGTGCGCCTGCGTCCGCATAGTACCCCAGGCTGTAATACTTCTCTACAACGGAAGATGGTAAGGGGGCAGGACAACGGTTAGCCAGTGAAGGTCATCCTTCGAGGTGGGCACGATGCTTTGGAAAACTGTGAAATCCAACGTCACTTTTACATCAATGTAGGATTTCCTGTCTTGTGTTCACATAATAAGCCCCACAAAGTAAAATAATCACTTCACAAATATATGTATGTACTGTCCAATAAAATTGATTCACTGTACTTCTACTCAAACCATATCCAATCGAATTAAATCCAAGTAATGTAGAGGCTTCATACGTAAATAAACTGTCCAATAGAATTAATTCGAAGTATAAATAGAATTTAATCGAAAAAAATATTTCAAATGCAATGGATTGATTTACAACCTACACAACACATTCAACAACTACGTTGCCGTCGCTGGGTGCAACCGGCAACGACACTTCCCCTTGTCCAGTTTTCTTCTTCTTGCGCTTTGGCTTGGCTGTAGCTTGAGCTTGAAGCAACTCATTGTAGGCCGACGAAATAAACATGCCTCCAACTTTCAAGGTCTTTTTCGAGGACTTCGTCGACGTCTTCACTTGAGGTTTCCGAAGATCCTTGTCGCGTACCTCGCCATGCACCATGTCGATTTCTTGCACCCAGGAATCATCCAAATCATTGCTTGGTAGAGAAGATGGTTTGAAAAGCAACAGCCGGTACATCATCTTGTCCAGAGACAACGGACACAATCCAGTGCACACAAAGCCATTTTGGATGGCAGTCGTGCTCGTCGAATTCGCCCAAACATCACATGCAATCGCAACCGCAGAAACAGCAACAAAATGTTGAGTGCCTTGGCTTCATGAGCAGCCGTGCATGATGAGCAGAATCGGTCGCTGTGTTCTCGACGGAATGTTCGCGTCAAGCATGGACAGCCACTTGCGACATATGAAAGAATTGGTCCAACCCTTCTCAGACGTCGTCACAGCAGCGCCAGGAATTATGAGATTGTCACAGGTTGCAGTTGAGACACGTTGGCCAGGCAGGACAAACAGCGGTGGTAGCTTCCTTCCATCTCCTCCAACACACGCCACGATGGTAACATGTGTCGAAGCAGTGAACTCATTGGCATGGACAGATGTTGTTAATTTGTGGATGACCACCTTCTTGGATGTCTTCGAAGGAGAGAAGCTGGTTTCATCCATGTTGAAAATCCGTGTTGGGTCCATGTATACCAAGGACGCCGAATGTGCGAGTTGTTGGACAAACTCAACAATGGTAATGGAGTAGACAGAATTGCGAGACTTGGTGAGCACCTGTGCTTTCATGACCTTGAGGTCAGGGTGACGGCCCAAGAACCGACTGTACCAGCTAGTGGACAGACTCGGGAGATGTTGGATGCCGTGTACGCGCTGGAGCATCTGGGTTGCCTTCTATTTGAATTCGCGACAGCCGGCAGGATGACCGTCGCGTGCCATTACGAGCACCCATGTTGCCAAGTCGTCCTCGAACATACGCGGCAGCAGAGAAGATGGTCCCATGCTTACGTCATTGGTGTTGACGCCGGACTTGGCTTTGGCCACATGTTTGCGAAGTGTATGTTGCGGAATGTCATATGCGCTTGCAGCAGAGGGAAGGGAACAGTATGTTCTTCGCTTAAAACTGCTTGGACGGCCAGGCTCAGCGCGTCATGTGTGTACGGCGTTCTTGGCGGCATTTTCTTGAAATTCAAATGAGTAAACCTTCGAAATATACTTCTTTTCCCACCATTATGTTTTACAAGGTTATTTGCATTAAGAGTTTCTATTTCATCCAATCAGAATTTATTTGTAAGACTATTGGACAAAAGAAATCGGCCCATCACTGAAAATTCGGCCCGTCACTGATCGATCACGTTATGTGTATTTTTCCCTCGATCACAAGTGATGCAATTAGTCAACAGAACGGCGACTTTGTACATCTTGGAAATAGGGCTATTTCCGATGCGAATCTTTTTTTTGAAGTCGACAATTGGCCAGTATTGTAGAACCTGTCCAAAGGACCATTCCACACTTACTCGCACACGACTCATACTTTTGTTCACTCTGCGTTGGGCTTCTGTTAAACGTGCTCCACCAAACGGAGAAGTCAGCTGGTCGGAGTAACCGTAAGCCAGGTCACCGTACACGACGAATCCTTGAAACCGAGCATCAACATTTTCCAAGTTGGAATGGCGGTATTGTGAGGTCATGACGACGACCTTCGATTGGGCCAAATGTATGGGCAATGATTCCATCGGGGGTCACCAGGGTCTGGTATTTCACGGCATGGCGTCGTTTGTGCCCATTATACACTGTCCGCTGTCGCTCGTTTCCCTCCGGCCGGCAGCACTCTCGTACGGTCCTATCAATAAACGCATATACGTTGTGAACTTCGGTTCCTTTTGCTACAACCGCTTGGCTGAGCTCGTGCAATTTGGTGCTGATACGGTCGCGGTCCAGAAAGATGATTTCGGCAAAGTTGGAGTAAATGTGGTCGAGAACGTGCAGAAATATGTTGCAAAGGCCACTTAGAGAACGCCCAAACATAGTGATAAGGTCGGACCATCGATCGAGTACTGCAAAACGGCGGAGCAGGATACAGAGAGCCTCGACACCACTGCACGTGGTTCGTTCTGGGGTAACGACCCGTGGTGGGATGCGAAGGAAAGTGACAAGAGATCCCAGGGTTGACCTGGAGAAGTGGAACTTGGTGAGGCAGTCGGCATCGGTAAAGGTGTTCAAAGTGAAGCTCACATTAGGTATCGTTAGCTGAGTACTGTAGTCTCTACGGCGCAATAGGGCAAACTTGAGACGCAGAGGCTCTCGGCTGCGATGGATCAGTCGCTGTTGCTCATGATGCATGTTTATGACAAGCATTAACGTCCATGGTGGGTGTCCGCGTGCAAGGCCTATGAAAAAATTATCTAAAAAGAATAGTATTCAATAATTTAAATAAAATAAATAATTCTTTGAAATTCTGTCATTGAATAAATAATCCGAAATGCTTCCATATATAAATAAATTCTTCTGGTTTTTGTGTCAGCAAAGTAAATGATTCGTATCGACCAAATAATTCGTAAACAATTTACTTGCATTTCATTTGAAGAAATTCCACCAATAAGAAGGACCACAAGCATCTGATTGGCATAAGCAACAAAACGAAAAACGACTGGCGAAGCATGCAAAGAGTTCTCAACCACTTAAATTGACAGGGCATCTCGCCGACCACTCATATTTGCTTTTGATGTCTGCCCCTTCGAACGCCCTCCGTGGTAAGGCTCTTGCTGAGCTTTACTTCACCCGTATGTCCCCCGACAGCCGTATCTGGGTGTGTCGCTGTGGTGTCCGCCGGACGCAAAATGCATCGGGGTATACGAACTTGTGCTCCCACATAAACACCGACCACCCTGAGCACGCTACCCTTGCTAGTACCCCTGGTGCGAACCCTTCGCATCTCTTCGAGTCTATGGTCCCTAGCACTGTGCGCAACGTATTTGGATGGTTGGCTTGGATCACTATGTCCCTGCTACCGTTCGCGTTCTGTGAAAACGTGTACGCCAAACGTTATACTACCTTAGGGTCCATGACGACCAGCACTCTGCGGAAGTACATGCATTTGGTGTGCCAAGTTGTGGAAGCGAAGCTCCGACGCACCCTACCATCTAAATTTGCACTTGTGTTTGACGGCTGGACGACTGGGTCAACTCGTTACGTTGCTGTTTTCGCTACGTTCCCATCCGACAATGTGATTGGCTACCAACGTGTCCTACTGTCGTTTGCACCAATGAATGAGGAGGAGTCTCTCAGTGCCGACGCTCATCTCAACTACATCCAGTTTGTGTTGGACTACTATGGAAAGTCTATGGATAACGTTGTGGCGTTTGTGCGGGACAATTGCTCGACCAATGTGGCTTTTGCTCGCAGGACTGGACGCCCATTGGTGGGTTGTGCTAGCCACCGTTTCAACCTGTTCATGCGACAATTTTTGGAATCCCATGACGTTTTGATCCAAAAAATCAACACCGTTATGCGGAAGTTGAAAAACATTATTCCTGCCTCCAAGCTCCGTCGGCACACACTGCTCGTGGCACGCACGATGAACGCAACTCGTTGGAGTTCCGTTTATACCATAGTTCAACGATATGTGGACATCCGTACCTTTATCGCACTTATTGACGATGATGCGGATCTCGACGAGCTACGCCTGTCCACTCGTGAAGACCGTGAGGTCGACTTGCTGCTTGCGCAACTGGAGAACTTTGACACTGTGACGTTGGCCTTGCAACGCGATACGATGTCTTTGTATGATGTACGCATCCTATTTGACACGGTGATGGAGGATTACCCTCAGGCGGCGACTACCTGTCTCGATCCGCTAACATTGTCCAGCAGCCCAACTTTGAAAATGGGGTGTGCAAAATCCAGAACCCATTATCCGGACAGATGAGTGTTGGTGAAACCGAGAGTGTAGGTGGTTTGCGTGTTGCACCGTTGGAGGCCGCGGTGACCGACAAGCATGAGACCTACGCGGAGCGTGCGCTCAAACGACAACGTCACGTGCCGTCGGAAGGCAAGTTCCTCGATTACCGCTTTATTGTCCCAACGTCAAACATTTGTGAGAGATTCTTCTCTGCCACGAAGAGGGCCATCGGAGATCACCGTTGTGGTTTGCTTCCGAAGAACTTTGAGTCTCAAATGTTTTTGTATGCGAACGCGGTCATGTGGGGCATGGATGATGTGCAGAAAATCATGCAAGCAAACGAGACATAGGAGGTGTAATAACTGCATAATTGTTTTCCATGATGTTTTTTTGAAATATTCGAATAATTCATTCGCCTTGGACGCAGGGGTGAATAAATTATTCAACACGACAGGACGTGCGAATAAATAACTCAGCTCCCAAGGCACTGTCGAATACATAATCTTGCCTCCCTGAGCACAGAAATAAGTATAAAATAGTATTTTCAATGGCCTTGTCCGCGTGGATGTTGTGAATTGAGATGAAGTGCGGCACGTTCTCTGAAAGTCTGTTCTCTGAACTGAGTAGCCAATCACGATCTAGCATGAATGGATTAGCCAATGGGCGAGGTTTGTGATAGATTCAGTCGGCAAGATTCGATTCGACGGAATCTGGAATTCTGTACCAAATCCGTAATACTCAATTGATCATTGTTTCTGATCCATAAGTAACTTACATTTGCTACATCAGAGGGATTCCCCGGCAGCAAGGGGTCACCCCCTGCTGGGTCCAAATCTCGGGGAATTTGAATAACGCCGGATAAACATCCGGATACCTTAATTCTTGCACAGATCAGTAGAGTAGAATTTCACACCAAGGGGATCCACAGCCACAGAATTTATCCGTACTTAACTTGAGCTTAACCGGTTTCGTTGTTGACCAATCACTTCGTTTTTTATCTTCACATGACATCGTTTTTTCGCATGAGTACTTGCTCCTTGCCATGGAGATGCATTTCACGGAGGACACTGCCACCTCCGACGACTACATTTCGGTAGCGTGATCAACAATGTGAAGGTTCATGATTTTGGAAGTTTCGTGTTGCTGCGTGAGAGATTGAATGCATTTTCTTTGAAACAAGGCTTTCGTGAAGTATCGTAACAAAATCACTGGAAAGTGGGTTTCTTGTAACGAGGATTGTGATTTTGCAGTTCGAGCGTCAATGCGTGTGGACAAGTTCATGGTAGTTATGGTCTGTTTCTATAACTACCATGAACTTGTTGCACAACCACCCCCTTTTCCAAGCCTCGGATCGAATCGCCACCCCAGTATGACGAAGTCTGTGGTGAGAATTTTGTAGTTTTGAATTTATGAAAGTTACATAACTAATTTAACTTCTATTGTGCTTTGCACCTTTTTTGGCAATTCCAGGGTTAATTCATTGTTTAAAAATTTCTCAGGCTTAAATAATGTCTAAAGTAACTTGAATAACGGTTGGGTGCGTTATTTAAAGTTACTTCATCTAATGCGATGATTGGTTGGTTGAAGGTGGTTTTACTGGCACTTTCGTAAAACAAGTTGTTTGCCGTTTTCATTCTGGCAAACAACTTACTTTACGTCAACACGTCAAGGTGCTTGCCACAATGAAACTGAAGCAGCTATGGCACATACATGACCTCTCATCCATGATCACTACAGTACTAATATTATCTACTCCGAGTAATGTATATAACGTTAGGGATATAGTTAGGCTACATGTAGTCGTCGTCTGTCCAATGATTCAAAGCTATGCCATACCTACATGTACAACACTTGATCTGCTCTAACCTTAGCACTGTACGTGGAAGGCAAGGGCGCACTACGACTACACGACGTACTCCCATTTCACATCCTAATACGGTAATACGGTATGCATCGTGATGCACTGGTGGTTGCGCTGCGTAAGTTGACCTGGTGCTGCAACTCGATTAATTAGTGGCTGAAATAAAGTAAGGGTTGTTTTATTCTGCTGAAATGCAGAACTTGTGTTTAGCGTTGTTTTATCTTCAATCGGGCTTTATTATTTTAAACGTCTGGTTGTTTAACGCAGTTAAACAACCGGCAAACTACATGAAAATCACAATAATAGTTACATAACTAATTTAATTTATGTAACTTGTCGAGATTCTCGATGTCCTGCAATCCAATCCGGATATTGCAATGTCCAGTACGGACCCGCGTCAGCTCACGGGATAGTACATCCTCAGCCAGATCCAACGTGTGTGTGGCGAAACCATCTCAACATCGTCTGCAAATCGCCGTGCAAAGCGCGCGTTGGTCAAGAACTACTACGGATCCGTCGACAATGCGTTCGAAAAATTTGCCAGCTACTTCGACTTGCTGAAGTCCCGCAACCCTGGAACGTTTACGTCCGTGGAAACAAGAAATGGGTCGTTTTATCGAAGTGTCCTTGTGCCTGGTTTTTGCGTCAATGCTTTCCAGCATTGTCAAAAACCTCGTTGCGCTTGATGGTAATACAATAACATCTTCCGCTATTAATTATTGTACTTATAGGCGTTCATTTGAAAGACCTGATAAACTCGAACGGTGTGCTGTTATTGGCGACGGTGAAGGATCCAAACAACCACCTCGTCGTGCTAGGTAGTGTTGTACTTTAATATGCACTAAGTCTAATTTAGGAATCGCCATGGTTCCTGTTGAAAATGGCGAACACTGGACTTGGTTCCTGAGGTGTCTGCAATCCGCTGGTGTCCTTCTGTCAATCACAGTGCAGAATTGGCAGGCCTTGATACATTTGTCGGTGGGATGGCCATTTCTTTTGCACAGGCAACAAAACTGTTCCATCCAGCACTCCCCGTTCACTCGCCAGTGCTCCTTGCTACAGCTGGAACACCACTCCTTCTTACTGCCCAGCGCGTAAATCTCGTGGTGTAATTGCTCTTTGGATGTGTTGGTCATTGCTGGGCTGTCGTAGTCGGAGCCTTCTCTGGCTAGGAGGATTTGACGTTCCATCGATGGGCGCTTGTCCCGAGTCATTTCACGGCGACGGATACCGGCACTGGACGTATAAACCTGACGGTTCTTAATCTGGCGCAAGATTTGGTTTTTCCGCTGTGAGTCCAAGTGTCGGTCAAGGTCGTCAATCGACGAGAACACCATTTGAAATAGGCGGTCTCCCAACGATTCATCTTCCAGAGCCATGCAAAAACGCCCGATGTGGTCTTCCAATATGCTGGCTGACTTCCAGTATTCCACCCTCACGCTTTGGGCCGCACTGTTGAATCGGTAGAAGAACGTCTTCAATGGCTCCTTCGGTTCTTGTGTCATGCGGTAGTACTTGTCGGCTTTTGGCAGCGGGTTGGTGATCCATTCCTTTGAAACTTACTATTGATATCCTTCGATGACTGCTTGTAATGGGGTTGCAGTTGGTTGAACCAGGCTCGTACAGTCTTGCTGAGATACGAAGGGAACCAAGCAATTTTTTCTTGTTCCATCCACCCTGATAGCCGTGACAATTGTTCGTAGCGTCTCACCCATTGATACGACGCCTCGCGGTTGTCTTCGCTGCCGGAGAAGATGGGCAGAGAGTCCATGGATAGCACATGCATAGCCCCTTGGTGTCCTATAGACAGCAAGCTATCCCAGAGGTCTCATCGCCCCCGCCGTACCCAGGGTTGCCACCTTCCCCAGATCTCCCGGGGTGGTTTCCCTGGGGGATCTGGGTTGCCAGAGAATTTGTCGGAGGGTACGTATTCTGTACCATCTTGAAATGTAATACCTCGTCCTCCTCTGGTTGGCTGCATTTGTGCACCTCGCTGGGGCCCACTTTGCAAGCTCCCAGCGCTTGTAGGTCGATCCACGGCAGTGGTCTGATTGTGGTTTTGTTCTAATCCATGAGGAAGCCTTTGAGGGAGGTGTTGTTGGCCTGCGGACAATCCGAATTGGTTGAAGATGTCACTAGCACTTCCAACGTATACGTCTTGACGTTCGATGCTGTCGATAAGTTGGCGGAGTTGGAATGGGAGATGTTAGAAACTTTTGATCCGTCGAGATTTCCGACAGTCAGGTTCGGACCTATGTTACCGGCGCCCCCCGCGTGTCCAGGGTCTCCAGGGTCACCAGGGGACCTCGGGTTGCCAGAAACTCTTGTTCGATGCTGCGATTGGCTTGGTGAAGGACGAGCTAATGCAGTTGTTGGAAGGCTTGCCATCAACGCTTCCAACGTGGCCCGAATGCCTTCCATTTTCTGGTCCAATTTTTGCTCCAACATTGAAGTCACCATACCAACTGTGGTCTGTGGTAGCACCGGGTCCGCACTTTGCATGGTGTCTCTCGTACCAATGGAGGCTTGGACAGAGCTGCGTCGACTCGGTGTGACGGACTCATTCTTGATTGACGGCGCTACGCCCGCTGGTTGTTCCGCCAAGTCATGGTACATCATTCCACGTGATGTCACTCGCGGGTTTGAGACGCTTGTTCGTTGAGTGAATGATCCTTCGAGTTCGGGTTGAAGTACGACGGTAGACTCGGGCATCGGGAGTCGTTCATTGTGTCAGTAGCGTGGGAGTGGGAGGACATACTTCGCACTTCGATGGGCGGCGCGGATGGGTCGGTGTTTTCATAAATCGACAAAGCCGCTTCTTGTCGCCGCGACTCACGGAGGCAGGTTTGGCTGTACTTCACCACATATTGCAGCAGAGATATCATCTTGACGAGTTTTTGGTTAAGTGCCAGGTATTCTCGAGAGCCTGTGATCACCAAGTACATATTGTAAAGCACTGTATGATTCCAAGTACCACGTGTAGACTTCGTCGTCTTCCGCTTCTCTGATCTTGACATTTAGCATTCGGAACACATTCTCCAGCCAGGAGAGCCAGATACGGCATTCGTCCAGCATCATTTCTTTGTAGGGGTCAATTGGAAGGGGGGCTATGGCATCCAACGAGGCGCGCTTGATTCCTTCACTCCATGTGCCAAACTCCGGCTGGAGGAATTTTGTCCAGGCGCTGGTTTCATCGGTCATCAGGTCGATCAATTCTTTCTCGAAAAACGTTGGCTGATCATCCAGGGGCGTCACATTGATCCTGGCCTTCATGGTGCTCATTCTGACTTTCCATCCTTTCTCGTCCTTGGGCCGAGAAGAGGAAGTCGTTCTCCCTTTGCTGGATTTGGCTTCTGGTTGCGTCGACACAGATGTGGCGAATCGTATGCCCACTTGGTCGATGGGGTGAACTGTTGGGTTCCAACTGGCTGTTCGGAAATGCATACCCGCGTACAGTTTTTCTCGGTTCCTGAATGCTTCCGTCAGGATTTGTGTTTGTCGTCTGTTCGAAACCACGTTGTTTGTACCCACGGCTCAATGCACTCAGACGCGCTTGCTCCATTTCTGCTTTCAATCGAGCTTTTTGGCCGCTTGTTCCGATGCAAGCTCTACTTTTAACGTGATTCTATCGCGCGATCTTCGGCTGCCGCTTCCATTTCTTGATACGCTGTTGGGGGGACAGGTGAGGGGATTTTGTACTTCCTTGGTGATTCCATTGAAACTTTCTCCCGGCAGACGCACCACTTGTGATGAAGTTAAGGCTCACAATAATAAGATATCCAGGGTTGTTTCGGAGGCTTGACGTGAATCTGCTTAGAAAATCTGATTTAACGATGTCAAAAGCAAATGAAACTCGATAGCTTCGACGGAATCTGATAGCCCGCTATCTCAGCTTTACAGAGCACAATTTGGAATTTCCGTCCAATTCCTCAGGGCGGGAGCTACGAGATTTTTACCACGACGCGATGAAAACGTGTGCTTAGATTGGTCCCTTACGTTAGGCACACAACACAGACAGATGTAGTGGTTGTGGCTCAAAGGAAGGTGAATTCAGAAGTGAGCTCTAGAACCTCCATAATTATCATCGCCAAAGACATGCATACATGTAAGTAGTGCAACCTTAGCTGCACTGATTGAAGTTTCATTGGCTAGTCGATTGTCTGCGTTTGGGCTGCCGCTATTCGATTGGAGTACCCACTCCAACGTGGAATCGAATGCATAATAAGTTACTCCAGTGTACTAACTAACTAACTGTAAGGTGATTCATGTAATTTCCGCCCAGTTGGCAGCCAATCACAAGCATCGAACGATTATGATTGGATAAAATAAGGTACTCAGGTAAATAGTACCCTTAGCATTTAATATTTGCATTCTTTGACAACTCATGTAATCTCATAATTAAAATGACTTATAAATTGAATACCTTTTACACTTAATAAAGATTACTATTAAGAGGATCTGAGAATTTCGGTGGTCAAATCTGTCATACATTATTCAAGTCAAACACCTGGGCGTTTATGCAGGACCCATCGTTATATCGTTTGTCCATTTTGCTCGACGAATTTTCCTATGTAAATGTAAATTCTCCTAACTTATATAATGCATGTTTTTGCAGCCTCATCACACACACCGGCGATGAGTTACGAGACTTCAAAAGTGTTGTACGACAAACTGGGCGGAAATTGCATGAAACACCTTAGTAACAGACAATTTGCTACTTCTGCAACCAACAATATCTCACCGCCACCCATCACTCGTGTCCACTTGGGTGTGTTATTTCTTACGATGGGACCACACATCGTTTGTCCGTACACGCCTTGTACAGGGGCAAGTTCTGGGTCGCCAATTCCGTTGTCGTGAAGCATCCACACATGGAGTTGTCGCTGCTGCCATATGCCCGGGGGTACTTGGACGCGTCTTGGCACCAGATGGTCGTGGCGCCGGTGTCGGCTGTCCACTGCATGTTGCAGCGCTCAATAGCAGCCTCGGCATCCACTTGGGCCTGGGCTTGTCGGATGCGACTGCGGATGGTTCCAACGATGGGCTGCGCGTGGCCAATCCTAGTGTTGATTGTGTATATAACGTTACGTGGTGGAAAACCTCGACTTGACAACGGCGTAACGTTACTGATCGTAGTACAGGCCTTCGACGGTCCCCACACGGGAGTATTCCTTGTGGTGTGCAAAGAAGGACAGCCACTTGTGCACGCTCAGCAGCTCCGAGTCGGTCAACGTGCTGTTGAAACACCGTGAGGGACATGCATGTCAGAGGATGAAGGAGTGGATGAGACGTACGTGATATCTTCGCCGTCCGTCTTGATGCCGGAGGAAAACGCGCGGCTGCGATCGACGCCGATAAAGTGGCGATACGCGCCGTTGACGCCGTAATGTCGCGCGCCGGCCGTCACGTCGAACACTTGGCCCAAGATAGCCAGGTACAGCTTGGACTTGTCGACGCCGTTGTACGACGCAAGCTCCTGTCGCGATAAACGTACTTCGCGCTGCCCGTCGGTCATGAGAAAGCGAGGGCCATGGTGGATTGTGTGGAAGTAGGACGTCATGTGGTCGTGCGAGCTGATGAAGTACATGGACCCCAATGCCACGACGGCAAACGCGACGAGAGCGAGAGGCAGCCATGTCCACACGAGATCCTCTGCGTCATCGAGGGGTGTTTCTACGACGCCATCGTTGTCGTCGTCGTCGCCAGGGTCGAGGTCCAGGCGGCGGCGGTGGCGGACGAGGTTACTGTCGTCGGCTGGCATTGTTGCGTTATCCGGATATAGGTTTAGCCCAGTGTTTGGGTTTTACTAGGTGGTTGAAACCGTGACGGTTCATATTCCAACTTGATGATGCAGCAGTTGGATGAGAACCCTGAAGACGACGATGCGATGACCGCAGCGCTTCGAGCGCGCCACGCCCAACACAATAAAATGCTCCAGGCATGCTCGTCGACATTTGCGCTTGGTGTAGCCACGTCCAAGTCGAAGCAGGACACGAAGCATCCCACGGGTGTTCGTCGAAGTGTTCGAGGTGCGAGTTGTGAACTCAGCTGACGCGCACTTGATCCCCCATAACACCACACTTATACCTTCAGGGAGATATCCGAATACACCCTTACCGCTACCCCTTGCGCGCGTCGTGGACGTACAGAGTGACCAGCTGCACATGCAATTCCCCCGACAAGAACTTCAGATTAACCACCTCCAACTGCAAGTCTATGGTACTTCAGCTCGAGCAAACGGATGTTCACTGAGCAATTGTCATGTTCTAGCCACTCCTGGTCCATCAGACTATGACGACTGCGCGGTGGCACTTGTGCGGCCACGGAGGTACACGTCCAGGCATCCGCGTTGATGAGTAGGGCCTGATTGATACTCACCAATAGTGCCCGAGCCTATCTATGTGGTAGCGACCGACAAGACCCCAAGCCAACTGACGCACCCCCCTCAACCCTCTACACCCCGAAACTTGTTCGCCCTCGTAGCCCCAGCGCCCACATCAGTTTGTCCCGCCTCCCAGACGTGCCCGTGCATAATCACATGCGATTCTACGTTCCAGGTAACGTCTACCCGCCTTCTCCATACTGTCGTGAGTAGCTCTCTTCCCACGTAGAGTCTGATTTTGCAACTGCCAAGTCGCAAAGCTGGGATTTTGCGCGACGGTTTCCGACAGATCGATACCCCCGTCGTCCACCCCAAACATCCCCCTCTGTCCACTGGAGCAACATCAACAATGACGGGGCCGGTGATGACCCCCAACGCAGCCCCCACGCCCCACCGCACCCGCCTTCGCACGTTCGGTCCAGAACCCCCCATCGCCGCGTCACCATGGTTCTGTACCCCAATGTAAGTATTTCCTCAATCGTGTGGTGGGTAGTTGCATGAGTTTGTCACCCGGCGATTGCGTGCGTGGGCGATCATTGTGTGGGCCGTGGATGCCCACTTGGAGCTCTTCCGCCGCGCGTGCATCCACCGCGTATGCCGGCGCCTACTGAGCGTCATGCTGTCTCGCCGCGCTGCCACGTCACGGGCATTCGACCAGTGGCGCCGGGGGACCATCGAATACGCCCAGCATATCGCGAGCACTGTTATCATCAACCACTTTTGGCATGTATGTTATATAACCACTCAGACACCTTTGCGAGATAAACTGAGGGATGGTTTGTGAATGTCCCAGATGCGGATTTCGGCCCGAGGGCGGCTCAAGATGCGCGCCATTCACGTGCTCAAGACGTTTTTGGCGTGGACCCAGGCAGGACCCGTGGTAGTGAAGCAGGTGCACCGCTACTTGGATCGCGTGCGCCGGGTGCAATTGTGGTGGAAGCACAGAGTTCGAGTGCTGTTTTCCCAAGCGGTGTTGTGGGTGCGGCAGTGGCGCACCACTGAAGAATCGATGCGCCAAGCACATTTGGCAGCCAAGCAAGCCACAACCGACATGCCGTTTCACGTGAAATGGAGCGTCGAGCACCAAGCTGTACGTCATCGAGTGATGGAACACTGACATATTTGAGTCTACTTGCAGGAGTGGTCGCAAGCGCTGTTTTGTTTAGGTCCAAACCGCCTCTTGATCGGCCAAGACATTAGTACCGATGCCGTGCTGGTCAAAGTACGTCAGCCTGTGTAACGAAATATTGACATGTCGAACCAACTAGATCGAGTTGGCAGCGGCCGTGACCCTCGACGGCGACACGCTCAGCGGCCTGCCAGGAGGCGCGGGGCAGCAATCGTTTGTGCACATTCAGCCCAAACGAGACCCGACGCAGAGCTTACTCCTCACGGGCCAAGACTTACCCTTGTGGCAACTCAAGCTCAACTTGGTGGTTGCCTGCGGCCAGATCTTGGACGACCACCGCACAGACAGCATGGGGCTGACGTGCCAACTGAAACTCAAAGAAATGCGCAAAACCCACCGCCTGCCCACCCATGAAATCACGGGCGTGTTGTGGTATTGCGTTGGCGACCTCCTTCGGTACGACTTTTGTGGAAATTCTTGGTGTACTGAGGATGGTCCAGGGAACGGCCACACTGCCCCACCGCTGCCGTCCATCGGGCCATTCGCACTAACTACCTCGAACGACGAGCACAGTTCAGTGTGAATTGGCGCAAGTACCAGCTCGCCCATCTCAAGTGGCAACAGCAACAAGATCAGCATGCAAACAACGTGCGTACTTTCTTCACTGCCATATTGCATACGTACTTAAAGTTGCGCATAGCCTCAGGCGAGCAGTCGCTCCGAAGGACGCATGGTACGCGGCATTTGCATGTGCTTTTGTCCGACAAATTGTTTGGTAGATACTATCACACAAGCCCCGCCCGCCTCGATTCAAGGCGCTCATCCCGCTTGGACAGCTCGCCATGCTCATCGACGAGGTAGGTACAATGTACATACTAACTACTATGCCCTTCATGCCTATTCCAGCCTCAAATGAAACCAATTCAACCATGTAATACATATATGTATATAGGTTACAGAGACCACCGCGCAACAACATCCAGAGTACACTCGATTAATTTTAGCGTAACCAGCCGCCGGCACTGGTGGTTGAACCTCTGGTGTTGAGTTTGGTCTTGTTCCACACTGCATAGTCTTCGAGCAGTCGACCGACTTCGACGGCGTTGTCGCAAACCGACTGGGCGTGGCCTTGGCTCGCGGTCTGAATCGTCACGTGGTTGGGCGTCACGACCACGCCCACCACGTCGGCATGTTCCCACGACAGCAGCACGTTGTGACTGGCATCCACAAAGTGCACGCCCATGCCGTTCACGGCGAGCACGGACGCCGCCGGCGACTCGAATGAAACGAGGACATTATTCACAGAGGTCGAAGACATCGAGTTCATTGTCGACGAGATGGACGGTTTGGACAGGTTGAGCTTTGGCACGCGGATGGCAAAGAAGTGGCTACCAAAGAGCCGATGCTTCTTGACTTCATCCACGTACAACGCCTGCCAGTGTTCCACCGAAGGACCTGGCGACTTGGTAGTGTCGTGGTGCGGGTGGTCTTGCAATGCTTGGCGAATTTGGTGCAAGATACACTGCGCATACTCGTTTTCGCTCTTGTCGTCCACCCACACCGCGGGCAAGTACTCGAGCACGTTCCACGCGAGCACTTCGTCCAGTGTCTCGGGTACAGGTTCGTCTGTCGACGCCGTGGAGTCGACGAGGATGGCATACGAAGCCAGGCGAAGCACGGGTTCGATTTGTAGGAGCGGCAGGCGGCCCTGGAGAATATCTTCCATGGCTTGGACATAGACCAAGCGCTGGTAGATGGGGTTGGTGTCGTCCACGACAGCAACGACCGGACTCAAACGCAGTTTCAACACAAAGGTACACGGACCCCCACGAAGTTCGTGTCCAGCGGGGAGGGGGTGGTCGTTGGTGTCGGACGTCGTACTTAGATCATCAAACACATCCCCTATCCACCCCGCATTGTCATACTTCACAAAGCACACACACATAGATGAAGGGGAGACATTTAATACTACTGCATACCCAAGTACGCGTGGGGATGGTACAGGGGTGAGTCGGCCGTCTGGGCGAGGCCGAGCAACGAGGCTTGCTGCAACCCCAGAAAATGCGCACACACGTCCACGACGTGGGTCACGGTGAGTTCGGGGGAGATGGGGAAGTTGGTCGTGAGCACGGACCCGTCCAACAGTTCGATCGACGCAACAAACGGCGACCGGCAGTCGAAGGCTGATAGTTCGTCCAAACTCGGCAGAAACCCGCTGTGCGCCACGTGCGTGTCAAGGCGCAATTGGCAGTACAAGGCCACGGGGTGGCGCGACGAGTGCACAAAGGACGCGACGAACTTGGCCAGAGGCGGCGACGGCGAGAAGCACGTGAGGCACAGCGCCAGCAGCGACCACCCGCGCCGCTCGCTTTCCGGCCGCGGGTTGTACGTGAGCTGCTTCATGAGCTGCATCAACACCTCGTCCACAAGTGCGGGCTGTTGGAGCGCCAGCTGTAGGATGGACTGCGCCAGCATTTCACGAAACCACATCACCCGATCCCGCATGTACCCCAAGATGCACCGACTCACGTGGACACTCCACGGCGTGCGCTGATGCTGCAACAGAGGTCGGTCCAATACTCGACTTTCCCACTGCATGGCGGCGGGGCCGCCATAATCCGAGCGCAGTTGGTCGTACTCGGAAAAGTGCACAGACTTATCCACGTCGTCGCCGGAAACGTGCAAATATTCATCGTCGCCGGCCGTAGACGATTGGAACTGAGGCTCCACGTGATGGCTGGCTTTGAGCTGACGGAGGACGTCGTTGGCCGACTGTAGCGCCGACGCTTCCATCGACGTCCGCCGGGAATGCACGTCGTCGAGCCAGGCTTGCAACGAGGCCACGGTGGGCGATTTGAGGATCTTGGCGAGTTTGCTCTTGGCCATCAAACTCTTTTGCAGGCGCCTCGTCAGCCCCCCCGCGTCTTCCAACATGGATGACGAGGAAGTGTCAGTCGTTTGGGTGAGCACCCGTTGCGTTTGCGTGGTCAGCAATCCCAGGAGATCAGATCGAACTTCAATTTGGCCATCGAGGCGAGATTGCACAAACCCAATGGTGTGGTGCAGGTCTGCCACAAGTCGAGACTGATCGATGGAGGCCAACACCTGTGGCAAATCGGATTGGACCACGTGCACAAGGCCTGCCTCTGCCGCTTCTTGCACGCGCTGGTCCACCGGCAGCTTGTTCAGTCTGTTGAGTCGCTCGTGATGGTTTTGCACAAGTCCCAGAAACGCAAACACTGGCGACGTGGCCACCAGCGGATGCGTCGTCTGAATGCCTTGCACTTTGGCCAGGTCTTGCTGCAGCAGGGCTGTCCACGCACCCTCCAGCGCCGCATGTTCCTTCTTGTGCCCGTCCAACGCTTTCTCAACTTTGCGTACGTTCATGTCCCATTGCGCCATCCCCACCGACCGGCACTTGGCCATGGCCGCTTCCAGCAAGATGGAGCTGTCCGCTTGCAACGCCAGCTCCACCAGTGCCACCGCCTGCGGTCGCTCCTTGGACGGAGGGATCTTGTCGTCCAGCAAGGCCACAGCTTGCAACACCAACTCGTCGTTGTTGGTACCGATGTCGGTGAGCAAGTTCAAACAAATCTCAGCACCGGGCTGGCACGTGGCGTCCACCGCTTTTTGAAGCGTCTCTTCGATTTGGAGCCGACTCATGGGCACGAGCGACCGGAGCGGCGCCCACGCGTCCCACGACGATTGCAAGGTCGCCAACGTCTGGTCTACCTCGCCCAAGTCGAGCATTTTGGAAACGGCAGCCGTCCACGTCGCCGCCGTTGTCGCAGTCGAGGTCACGCACGCGTTCAAAGCGGTTTGAGCGGCCGATACCTCGGATCGGTGGGCCAGAAGTTTCATTGCCAATTGGCCTTCCATTGTCGTGGTTGGCACGTCCAGTCGAGCCAGGTCTGCCATCGAGCCACGCAGAAGGGCGTCTCGGACAGAGTTACTTCTGGAACTCCTCCAAACGGGCGAGTCTGACCGACGCTTCAGCGCGGCCTTGGCGGTCGTGAGCAGCTCGTGCTTCCAAGACGGGCAAATGGATTGCGCCGTCGCCAATGCATGCCGCAGGAGCACGTCCTGGTCCCTTGCGACCGCATCGGTGAAAATGGACTTGAGGTACGACTCCTCGGCCACTTGGGAGATGACTTGAGACGCTTGTTGGATCATGCGGACGCTCCCGCCGCGCGCTTCCATCCAACTGGCGGCGTCTGCAAGCCCCGTTCGAATGGCGGTGGGGTTTCGAGCGTGAACGGCGGCGCGAAGGGCGGTCAGAGCGGCGAGGCGGCGGGTGCATAGTTTGCGGAACGCACTGCGCTGCAAGTTGCGCTGGATCATGGTGGCGCACGCGTTCAAGTAGAGCTCGCGTGCTTTTTCGAGCTTCTTTCGCTGGAGGACGTGGAGCCAGATGACTTGGGGTGGCACGCCCTCAACCCGCCACGTAAGGTCGTCCATGACGCCAATGGCAATGAGCGACCGGATCAAACTCTCCAGCGTCTGCCGGTGGCCACAAATGTGGCGGTACCGCGAGAAGAACAGAGGCGGCGACAGCTTGACGGTCAAGTTGCGCTGACACGACACGACCAGGTTCAAAACGTCCACTGCGCGCAGCTGGCGCACCACGTCCCTCGAATGGAAGAAGCAGTCATCGTCGTCCTTTTGCGGGTTCACACACACCACAAAGTGTGTGCCCATGGTGCGCATGGCGGCAACCACGGACGACGCCTGTTGCATGAGCTCCGTCGTGACGTTGTCGCAAGAGTTTGCATGCTTGAGCGCGCTGAAGTTGGTGGCCACGTTGGACGTGCGACTTAGGGGCGACGGCAGCGTCGGTGAGTTGCCATGCCTGTCGACCATGCCCTTGACAAAGCTGTTCTTGGACGACTTGAGGATCGCCGCCGCGGTGGCGGACACGGACTTGCTGTTTCGTTTCACAAAGTCGTCGGCTTCGTACGTCACAGTGGCGCCGTGGCCGTGTGTGATGGTGAACTGGACCTTGTAGTTCTTCTTGTTGGTCGTCGACGGCAATACCGGTTGCAGCAACGTGTTGCCGATGCTTTCGTTGGCGACGAGCAACTTGTTGACAAACTGCGCGTCTTGCGCTTGCCGGTGATGCGTTCGACTGGTCATTTGGTCGGCCAAAATCGGGAAAATACCTACCGGCGTCTGCTCGTACAGACGCACGTACACGTCCACGTCCAAGTTGGCCGCCGCGGGAAACACTGACGACAAGTAGAACGACCGCAGCTTCTCTGCCCAGTAATGCACACACAGTGTGTCAAAGCTGTGGACGGAAACATCCGACGCGCTAGGAGGCAGGTACCCGAACGCGTCGATGATGTGGATGCCGCGGGTGTCCACGGTAATGTTGGACTTTTCATACCTACAGAGCACACACAATCGCAGCATGAAACGCATGTATATATATACTATGAAGAAGACACCAGGCATCACTCTTTACAGCTTTCCTAGTTGACCAGAAACAAGGACGGAAAGTACTCGCTCGGGCAAAACTAACTTGACCCCATACAAATATCCGCAATTCACATTAAGTTGGTGCAGGTACGAAAGTCACAACACTAGGTTTGTACATACAAGACAAAAACTAACAACTGCACCCATACAACATGCCATAGAAACACATCGTCTGCCAATCCCAGTTGTCCGTCTCTTTGCGCTAAAAAACAAGAAGACTTGGATGATGCAAATGGCATTTGCAGGCACGACGTGAGACTAGGTGCAGAGACGAACATCAAGTCTACCTACTGCACCCATACAACATTCCATATAGACGTGTATATTGCCAATGGGAGGTTAGGTACCGTTCCAGCTTGGACCGAAGACTCGCGTTCATGCGAAATGTGATGGCGTGTACCAGCGACTCGTACAGGTTTTTGCAAAACGTGTCGCGGGCGCGGGTGGCCTGGTGGACACTGACGATCTTGAGCGACGACGTTTGATTGGACGAAACCATCTTGCGGGTGCGAAAGTAGTGGTCCAGCACGGACGCGTCTACTTCCAACATGGTCGCAGCCAGTTGCAAGTGTACGGCGGTGGCTTCGTCGATTATGCACGCGGCGTCCAGTGCATTCTCCGCCATCGCATGGCTGGTGTTGGCAGTCGACGAAGCAGCGACGAATTTGACGTTGCCAAGATGGAGCACGGCCGACACCACTCGCATGATGTTGTGCACGTGATGCGCGGGCACGCGGAGCGCGGTGAGCGACGCCATGAGGTCCTCGAAGTGGTGGGCGTCCTTGGACCTACAAGGATGGACGGGATTCCCAGCAATCGCAAAGGTATAGTTGCCAAGCTCCAACGCTGTGTGGAGCGACGAGTTCTTGGACGCTTCAGCCAAAAGCCAGTGGAAAATGTGAAAGCTGCGTTCCGACGGTAGCGTGTGCATGACCTATTCAACGAATGAGTATTGAGGTGTGTGAAGCCACGACAAGTAGGAGGAGGACGCCGCCACCTTTTGCTTTTGAAGCGAGTGGGTGGTGAGGTTGCCCGCCAAGAGGCGGCCGTGGGTGTCGTACTCGACCGATAAGATCTTGACAAGGTGCGACGCATTGGGGTGGTTGGCCAGCTCCACGTGGCCTAGAGCAAGTAACGTTAGATCAGTCTCAACCGCCCAAGAAGACTCTTGTGAACCCATCGCAAAAACGATGGCGAAGAGATGAGGACGAAGAAGTAGCGATGTACCGAAGGCTTCGAGGACGACGCATGCATGCAGCATTTGCTCTTCGATGGGTACGTGGATGCTCGAGGATGCTCCCATGTCCCCCGCGTTGGACCTCGACTTGGAACGGGAGATGGCTGCCGTGTGCGGTTGATGGCAGAGGTACTGCAGCAGGAGCTTGGCCGCCTCCGACTTGCCGGCGCCGCGCTCGCCGAGGAGAACAATCGCTTGGTCTTCTCCGCTTTCCTGGAGCGACAATTTGGCATTCTCGGCCAGTCCGAACAGATGTGGCGGCATTTCATGCAGCATTTGGCGATGGCGATACGCCTGGACAATGTCGGGTGTGTACAGGGATAGCGGACGATGGGGGTTCACACTGATCAAGACAGACGCACCGCATTCCGTGTAGATCGTGTCATCGCGGAATCGCGTGCGAAGGGTGTGCAAGAGCGCATACTCGAGGGCTTGCGCTTCGTGCCGCGCATGGAGATTTTGCGTCATGCGTTCATCCTTCGTGCTCGCGCGATGATTGTCATGCCGAGTCGAGGCGTGATTCAGAGTCAGTTCCGCAACGTCGGACACGGTCGTCGTGACGTCAATGCCCACGGGAAGCGCGTCGTCGCTGTCCAGTTGCCTCTCCTCGCCGTCGTCCGTGTGTACGATGAGCAAGTTGTCCTTTCCACGCGCGACAACGACCCCAGGGACACAGACCAAAGTCGGATCGGGGCACCATACCCACTGCCTCGTCGTCATCTCTTGGTAGGTATTGCCCATGTCCATGTCAGAGGTGTTGGACTCGATGCGACCCCGATTGCTGTGCTCCATGACGAGGCTGTAGAATGCCGGGCCTTTAGACGGCTGATGAGTTGCCTCTGCTGAAGGACCAGGGGGGGGTCTCCAAATTCCACCTTTTGATTATAAATCAACGATGAATACTGAGGGCAATATAAATTTATGATTTAAAAAAAGTAGTTCCGTTCTATTTGAGGGGGTCCACAAGACCTGTAAATAGTTTGGACCCACCCCCCCATTTCCACGCCCTCCATCGTATCTGATCATATTTTTAGGACAATGTAATCGCCATCTTGGGTGAAGCAAGGTGCTTTCTTCACTGCGTTCTTGAAGGCCCCCTTCAGGTCGTCTGTGACGAGGTCAGGGTACTTGGTCGTGATCTTGGCGGTCGCCGCTTTAAGCAGGGCCTTCTTGCCTAGCTTTTGCCCATCGGCGGCTTTGACAAGGCTCTTGAGCACCTTAACCCACTTCTTTTCGTCAGAGGTTAACTCAACTGCGGGGAGAGTGGTGACTGCGGTCGCGTTCTGGCTCAAATATCCTTTCACGTGGGATGCGAGGGCACTGAGGCCATTGCTGTCGCCATCGCCGCCTTCCTTGGCTCTCTTGGCGAGGGGTTTGTCTACCGTGGCATCCTCTGCTGGCCGCTTCGCCGCCGCCTCTGTGTCTTTGAGCTTGTTGAATTCTGTTTCCAAAAATGTCCACAGCTGGTCTTCGACGCCGGTGAAGCCAATGCTGTTCTTGACAAAGTTGAGAAATTTGGGCTTCTTCCGCGGCACGTTGTCATAGCCTGCAATGCGCTGCAACGCCTGATTGACCTTTGGATCAGGGGCGGTGCTGGACTGAACCAAGTCCATCCACTTTTCCTGCGGGTTCTTCTTGGCCTGCTTGGACAGCTTCGGTCCTTGGTATAACGCCCCTTCGTACTTCTGGGCTTCGGAAATGCATGTCGTGTGCGCCGCGTAGTCATTTCCCTTGAACACGACTTGGCAGTCTACGCATGTCACGGCCCAGCAGTTCTTACAGCGAGCAGCATGCGCGTCCACTTTGTTCTTCTTGAGCGTCTCGTTGCATCCTTCGCACACGAAAAACACCATCTCGTTCGCCGCAATGTCTGCAAATCCGAACTGCCAGCCAATTGGTTGGCGCTCGAAATTGAACAGTTTTGGGTGGTGTTGTTGTTGAAATTCCAAAAACCTCAAATATTTTGGTAAAATTAGGATTGCATACAGTAATTAAAGTCTAGCGGTTTCAGCCTTATATGTACTGTATTGTCCTGACTTTTGTTTTATAAAGTTATAAAGTTCAATGTTGAATTCGTCGAAGAGTGGATTTGATTGGCCACTTGATTCGTGATCTGGTTTTCATTGGTCGATCTATTGTCTGCGGATATGGTGCTGTTCATTCGATTGACCAATTTGGACAATAAACTTCCCCCTCGTGGCACCGAAATGACAAACTTTATCGAAACATATACTATTAATAGTATTGATTGTCTAACACAGCATCAATACACTGCCATTATCCACAAGAAATCTTCCAGCCTAGTCGACAATTACATGGCCATCGCCGAAGGTCGTAAGCACATCAACATCAATCACTTCAGGCTCCACATCGGGCTCCACAACGTCCACGATGACGGGAAGCTTCGTCTTGGCTTGCGACAGCTCCACCACGAACGCCACGGCCAATCGCGTAAACTCGGCCATGTGGTTAAAGTCCAAGGTCGCAATCGTGTCCTTGGACGACTACTCGAAGATCCTTCACATCACTTGCATTTTCAAGCGACGAAAACGTACGTGGACGTTGGGGTTGATGGGTCCGTCTTCTTCAAACGGGTATACCGTGGCGTACCCAGCGTTGAACCACGACGCGTGATCGGAGCAGCCGTAGCCGCACGTGTTGTGGCTTACTTTAGTGGTCAAGTAAGTATTGACACATACTTCCAAGAACTGGGTCAACGGGCGCGTCGTGAAGTCGTCCGTGAAGCTAATGACCTTGGTGCCGCCTCGGGTCCAACCTGTCCTATCCTTGTGTCAACTTGCACCGTGTCACATCATTCTATCGATCGTACATGTCGTTTTGGTACATGGCGTACACGTCGACTTTGGCTTTGGCATAAGCGGTGGCAATTTGCTTGGAGCCTTGCAATCCCGTTTCTTCGGCCGAGTACCATTGAAACTCGATCGGTCGCGTGGGAACCCACTGCGGCGACGACAGCAAGTACTTGAGCGCCGTGAAAATCGTGACCGTGCCGGACCCGTCGTCGTCGGCGCCAGGGGCGGCCTTTCCGTCGCGTTGGTTGATCGAATCTTGATGCGCACCGAGGATGAGCAGATCGTTGTTCACGGCAGGTTTCACCGGATCGATGCGGAAGATCACAGACACTTGGCCCCATCCGTGGTCGTACTTGGTCACTTTGGTCTTGATATCGGCGCGTCCGTGGGCGTTGGACAAGGCGACCGCTTGGTCGAACAACCAGATGCTCGACGCCAGTCCCTGCGACGACGTTTTGTGGCGGGTGGTGAACTTGTTCACAAACGTCGTAAGGAGGGTCTTGAGGTCGTTAGGATTGACTTTGGCGTTGACAGCTTTCACGACTGCTTGAAACGCAGGGATGGCTGGATAGGCTACAATACAGGTAGTGAGTGGCCTGTACGCCATGTGCTCGGTGTAATGCAAGAAACTCACTTTTAGCTCCAAGGCGCAGCGCTTGGCGCTCTCTGCCCAACCGCGTGCCTTCCGTCCACAACCCATCCGTGTCATCGACAAACCCAGTATTGTTTTGGTGGAGGATTCGAATCTAGTACGTTCGGTTACGACATCGGCATAATATTGCTGCTATGGGGGGCTACAGTACCTCAGCCTCAGTCATCCAGCAGCGAATGGAGTCGGAAAGCGCAATGAGTCGGTCAGAGTCGTTGGAGCGATCGCCGCGACATCCTTCGACAGACGTTTGAGGGGCGAAATGAGCTTGGGCAATCGACGCCGCGAGCCCCACCACGCCCACAAGTTGATACAACACTTTCATGGCTAAAATGAAAATGAAAGTCGACAAACTGTCAGTTGAATGTCGGGGCCGGCATGTGCAGTTCACTACTAGTACATACAGCCTATAGTTAACTCAGACGTGGTTCGGGTACGAATTGGTCGGTACTGTATACAGGCACCCCGAACCAGGAAATGCTACATCCCTCCAACTGTACTAGTATATCAGACGCATCTGACTCGGATAATTCAGTACTCTGGGGTACTAATATGTAGTACTTTCAAGGAACTTGGTTATACTACTTACTGTAGTAGAGTTCTGGAAAACGAACGATTATTCCCCAAGGCAGAGCCTGAATTGATGAAATCAATCGAACAAGCTCACCTCGAGGATCGTCCCCCAGTGCATAGGACATCGCCCAAACCACCACGGCAATAGTTCCTGAACTTGGCCGAGGCAACATCACACATGTCGGCGGCATTCACTCTTCGTTAAACTGTGATTACTCATGATGCAATCTGATTCCATCTAAATCGTCACGAACGATTGTTGATAGTCCCAGCTCCGTACCTTATTTACCTTTGTTTTCAGTCCAGAAATTAATTGTGCATGAGCAATGAGGCGATGACGACTTGCCAAACCCTTATCTACAGTATCTCGTGGTCCCCTTGGAACAACATCCATGGTGCTTGGAACCATCAAACATGGACTTAAGTGCGCAATCGGAGGACAATGGATCCGCAGGCTTGCCAACATGCCAATCATCGCTTTCCATCCCAAGACTTTATTCATATAGGGTTAACGGAAACATATATACTAGTACATCTTGGCAAGTGCACCCTACATTGTCAATCGTAACGTTATTAGAATGCTAAACAGTCTTGGCCGTCATGTAGTTTGAACAGATGACACACACACGTCGATATGTTGCGGTTTGTATTACCTGGTTTAGAACTTATAGAAACGGCACATATCGCTGCTGCGTCGCGTCGTCGTCCACGACCATGTAGAACGAACGTCCCAGCACTGAGACCGGCGGCACACAACGGTGAGAACCAATGCAAGATCGCGTCTCGCTGGAAGGCATTCACGACGGTGCCATACTCGATTCGCGACAGATTGTGGAAATACGAATGCGATGGAACATCGCCAGGCAGAAACACGGGGGCGTGGGCGTTCACCGCCACCACCAGATTGGAAAACCAGCCTCTCAATGCCACGCCAGACGCAGCCGCGGTTGCTTGTTGTGGAACTGGAGCGCCGTCAACACCAAGGCAAGCATGCAATGTCGCGTCTCCTGCCCACCCAATCACAATACCTGAATCGGACTCCCCTCCCACTTGTCTTTGCTGCATTCACACTTTGCGGGGGACGCCTCCATGGACGCCCTCCTCGTCGGGGTCTTGGCACTCCCCAGACATGACGATGTGAGCCTTCTAACTTGGTTGGCCAATAAATAACCTTAGTCACGTTCGGTTTCGATTGGTGCGAAACCACTGCAGTTACAGTAGCTAATAGTAATTTTTGTTTGTGATTTCGGATTCCTGGCCTTTCTGGCTCGCCAACATGAAATATTTTAAACTATTCGCTAATTCTGAATCTCCCATATGATATTGCGCTCTCGAAGGCTTTATTTACCGCAACAACGAGGTGGTTGCAGTTTCGGTATGTAGGGGTCGCGTTGGACAATATGATGACAGGATAGGTATTTATTGTTGAGATATGAAATATGCAATATGACTCAACCTATGAAACATGCAACGCAGAGGACAATCAAGCCTCGGCTGACAGACGAAAGAGATTGCTGCCATCCACGCAACGCCCCAGCCGCACTCTTTGTTGGTGATGGCGTACTGGTCGTGGTTTCGGGGCTTGTTGTCGGTGATGAAGGGGGAGACGTTGATGAAGGAGGAGACGGCGCTGGGTTGAGGGTTGTAGCTTGTGAGGTCGATGGTAGAGCTGTTGTCGTTGTTGATGGCAATTGTGTGGTGGTTGGAGCCGTCGACGTCGTCACAGGAGCTGTCGACGTCGTCACAGGAGCTGTCGACGTCGTCACAGGAGCCGTCGACGTCGTCACAGTAGTCGTCGTGGTGGATGTTGTTTGGTACGTTGGGGTAGGCGTCAGACTAGGCAAGCTCGAAGGTAGCGTCGATGCAAAGCAAACGTAGTCCAGTGCAAACCCTGAATTTCCCTTCGAGCTGTCGGTGGTTAGTACCACGGACGAATTCGCGGCCAAGTTGGAAATACTCGGCAGGGATGACCCTGTGTACCGCGCCACCCCTGGGAAAGTCACAAAGTCGTAGCCACTTTCAAGGTCGAACGTGGAAAACGACACGTTAACCAGCACCAACGAACTTGAAGGACATGTCAGGACCCACGTCAGATTCAAATTGTTGCCGTAGACAATGGGGCTAAGAAACGCGTAGTCGATGCGGCCCGTAAATGTCATGGCAGTGCCGACGGAGGGGGCTAGCGTCGGAATGGGTGTAGTAGTTGCCCCAGAACACACATAGTCCAATGTAAACCCCGCTCGTCCTGCCGAGCCATCCGTGACGAAAACAATGACGGTACCCGCGCTGACGGTAGCGGTCGGAGGCAGAAGGTTTCCTGTGAATCGCCCTGCTCCAGGAACTGTCAAGTAGTCGTAGCCAATCTCAAGGTCGAACGTGGTGAACGTCACGGTGACCAAGCTGCTGGCATTGGAAGGACACGAAAGGATCCAGTTCAAGTTCAAGTTGTCACCGTACACGTTCGGGTACACAAACGAGTAGTCGATGCGACGGCCCCCACTGGGAGATGGCGCGTTCGGGGCCATTGTCGGCACGAGAGCCTCTGGAGCAACGGCCGCCGTGCACGTGTAATTCAGTGTAAACCCTATTCCCCCTATCGATCCGTCCGAGGTTAACCACACGGTCGAGTTGGCGTCCACGTTAAAGGGGCTGGGAAGGACGTTGCCTGTGAAGTTGTAACCACTGAATCTCAAGTAGTCGAACCCGTTTTCGAGGCCGAGTTTTGTGAGGATGACGATCACGTGTGACGCGAGGGGTGGACAGGCAAGGACCCAAGACTTGTTCAAGTTGGGTCCGTATGTATTTGGAGGCTCGACCGAGAAATCGATAACGGCACTGGTGACGTTGATGATCACCGACGCAGGAGCAGAGGGGGAAGCAGGTTGTGTGGTGGTCGTGGTAGTGGTATTGGCAGCTGTGGTGAGTCGATCGGCAAGGCAGTCGTACACCAAGGCGAATCCGGTGCGGCCCACGGACGCGTCGGATGTAAACACCACGGACGCATTGCCCGACGTCACGACGACCGGTGGAAGGACGGTTCCCGTGAATCGCCCGCCGCCGAACCCACCAATTGTGACAAAGTCAAAGTTGTTTTCCACGTCCAGCTTGGAAAAGACGACAGTCGCCACCGGCGTGTTACTAGGACACGTGAGCGTCCAGTTGCGATTCACGTTGTTGGCGTATACGGACGGGGGCTCAAACGAGTAGTCGATGGCGCGGTCGGCCGTACTGTTGGTCTGGTTGCTTGGGGATGTCGAGTTGTTGGTCGTCATCACTGGGTCCAACCAGGCGCCGGTGTGGCACGTGTAATCGAGAATAAACCCGCTTCGACCAACCGATCCATCGCTCGTGAATGCCATCATGGAATTCGCAGCCACGACAAACGGAGCCGGCGACGTGTTGCCCGTGATGGTCGCTGCAACCGGACTTCCAATCCTGATCACGTCAAAGTTGGTTTCAAGATCCACGAGCGCAAACGTCACCGACACCAGCGTCTCCTCCGTCGACGAGCACACAAGCTGCCACGTCACGTTCAGGTTGTTCGCGTACGTCAACGGTGCCGCAAACGAGTAGTCGATGCGGACGGTGCCGTTTTGAACCGTCGTGTTCGATCCAACGACGCCAGCATGGGTCGCATCGTCGACGATCGGCGGCACCACGATGGAAAAGCACTCGTAGTCGAGCACGAACCCGCTGCCGCCTATCGACCTGTCGGAGGTAAAGTATACTTGCGCATCGGCACCCAAAATGACATTGCCCAAGGGCACGACGTTGCCCGTATATCGATTGGATGTGCCTCCAAGGAACACAAAGTCAAAGTTGGTTTCCACGTCCAACTGGACAAACGTGACGTTCACAGAGGTTTCGTTGGACGGACATACGAACGGCCAGTGCAATTGCACGCTGTTGTCGTACACGGCAGGACTCGTGAACGAATAGTCGATGCGACCATTCCTCGACGACGGTGCTGGTGTTGTTAGTGGAAAGGTGGATAAGCACACGTAGTTCAACACAAACCCGGTCCGTCCTTGCGAGCCGTCGGATGTAAACCGGACTTCTGCATTGGCGGGGACGGTGATGGGCTCGGTCGGTAGGAGCCTACCCGTGAAGTTCCAACCAAAGCCGCCTGTGATTCGTACAAAGTCGTACGTGTCTTCCAAGTCCAACTTGGCGAACGTGACGTTGACGAGTAGAGATTCGGATGGACACGTGAAATTCCAACGTACGTCCTTGTTGTCCTCGTACGTCAAGGGATCGACAAAGGAATAGTCGATCGTCCCACGGGCTGCAACGGTAGGCGTAGGGGGCGCCGTCGTCGTCGTGGTTGTGGGTGCTACGGTGGTGGTCGTAGTAGGGGAGAGAGTTGTGGTCGTAGGGGAAGGAGTTGTGTCTTGGAAAATGCATGTATATTCGAGTACAAACCCACTTTGTCCTTGCGTGCTGTCGGAAGTAAAGTGCACTTTGGCGTCAACGTTCACTATAATAGGCCCCGGGGGAATCGCGTTCCCAGTGAACTTGCCCCCATCCAGTGAGATTTCCACAAAATCATAGTTTCGCTCGAGGTCAAATTGAGTGAACGTCACGCTTACGAAGGATGCGGAGGACGAACATTCGAACGACCAAAACACATTTGCATTCGGGGGGTACGTGTCTGGAGCGACAAACGAGTAGTCGATGCGGTCGCCGCCTGAGGAAGGAGAGTTCGTGACTGGGGACAAGGTGGTTGTGGTTGCAACCGAGGGGGGAACGGTGGTGGTAGTTGTAATAGGTGGAGCCAATGTGGTCGTGGTCGTGACAGGGATCGGGGCACTGGGAAACGTTGCCCAACACCCGCTGATGATACTCTTTTCCCAGAAAAACAACACCTTGTCCACGTAGTCAGATCCGCAAATATTGACGTTGATCTTGGCCACGGTGCCCACAAACACATCGTACTCAAACACGTGGGGGATGTTGCACACCCCGCCTTTTACCAAAGATGTTGAGTCGAGTGCGGCGGTCGACAAGGCGGGAAGGGGCAATGCGGCGCTTGTGGTCACCTTCATACTGGCGCGGATGTACATTTCCAAGGCTGCCGACGCCACTACTGACGCCGACTTGGAGTAAAACCACAACGACACCGAGGCCGTCGCGTTGGCCGAGATGACGGGTCGAAGGCCCACTTGGCCGTTGACCTTGAGCCAGTCTGGCCATGTCGTGTCGGACGTGGTTGTGATCTGGCGCTTCGAGAAGGGCCCCCCCAGGAACGACATGCCAAACGTAAACGCGTCGATTCGGGCATCGTACACGTACACGTACTCGGACGACGTGGACGCTTGCAGGTCAATCACAAACTCAACCCCCAGTTCGGATGAAAATTCGAGCGACCCAAACGAAGTGCCGATCGAGAACCCCACGGGACGCCCCGTGCCGATGAGCGGAAGTGTGATGCGCTTTTTGCACATATCGGGGGCGTTCAACACAAACGCGAGGCGGACGTGGCCCGTCACGGTCACTTCCATTTTGAGCAAATCCGTGATGGAGAAGCTCGAGTCGATCGAGGCCACGTTGAACCCGACATAGCAATCACGACATTTTATGATGCACCCGTCGCTAGAGTAGATGGGCATTTCATGCACAATTGATTGGTACTTGGAACTGGCCACGTTCCAAGCCATGTCCAGCAAATCGTTGGTTTTGGTCTGCATCCAATTCAGCTCCCGCCGGCGCGACATCGCCGGCGCAATCGTCGTCGTTGCCATCGCCGCCTGCTTGTCGGCCGTGTCCTCAACGAGGTTTTTGAACGCCCGTGTGACCACACGAAACTCTTGGTTGGCGAAGATGTCTGACCCCGCCACTTGCTCTGTGGTGAGGTGCAGATCGCAGGATGTCGATGGTGCTGGCTCCATCTCGACTATGTCCACCGAGAGCACGCGAACTCCGAGGGCGTAGTCGGCCTGGCCGTCGCACTTGAGGCCCTTGTGGATGAGCACTTGGCCTGGACCGAATGGCAACGTGGCGCACTGGTTTAGCTTCAATCGAAGCGAGTGGTCCGTGCATTTGACCACCGCCTCAAACGCTGCGTTCTCGTCCAGCGGCACCACGCCGTCGTTGTACGTGTAGTTGACGTAGATGTACGTTTCGGGCTTGCCCCCCGCGTCCTCCACCACCACGTGCGCTTCAAGAGACGGCGGCAAATTCATGAGCGTGCCCTCAGCTTGCAGCAAGCTCGGTACGACTGTCAAAAGCGTGTCGTCGGTGACTTGGGCGATGGCTTCGTCCAGTCTTGAAAACAAGTCCACTGCGTACGTTCTGGACGCAGCTGATGCAATCAACAGTGCGACCCATGGTCGGAAGTACATTTTGGAAACGCTACGCGGACACCTGAGTAAAAACTAGAGTGCAAGACAATGGCGCGACTAGTTTTCCATTTCAGTCTGTCGGTTACGAGTTTAACTTTGGTTGCAGCTGCGGTTTCCACTCCCCAAATTAACACACCGGTAACCGCTTTCACGACCACTAATAATCCCCCACTCCCATAGCTCATCAAAGCCACGATGTCTTCACTGTGTAAGTGCAACCCGCTTTGTTGGTCGTTTTCTCGTACGCGTTGCTCAATAATAGTACTAGACCTCGAAGTACTACAGTACTACTGGTAGTACAAAACACGAAAACACGACGGCGGTCTGGTCGTGTAATTTTAAGTTTGGATATCTGGGCAACCATGTTCAATAAAACAAATCCCAAAATAGCTACGTATTCCTGTGTCTACTAGTAATCCGTCTACATGAAAAGCCTAATTAGAATGAATTTAGGTTAGTTTTGACTGTTTTGAGGTTCTGAGAATTCTTTCACAACTTCTTTTAGAATTCCTAAAATTTGTGGTTGGTAATTAGTGTGGACCAATTTCATGCCATATTGTTGGGTGTTTGGGGTGTATGCCACGATGCCCAATTGCTCTGGTAGTCATAGAAAGCCATCAAGTGTGGTGTAATGTTGACTTACTCAGTGGATGCATTGGGATGCGTTGCTTTGATCAAATATAATCATTGGTTGCATACTTACATTAGTATATTATTTTTCACTGTGGTGGGCCTAGAAATGCCTTACTGTACATCCTAATTAGTTGTGGATGCATCCTGGATGCAGTACTACTGGTACTGTAGTAAGTACAGTAAGTGCTTCGAAGTAGTACTACCTCGAAGTACTACAGTACGTACTCCGTACTTCGAGGACTACTCCAGAGTAATCTTTTGAGTCATACGTGTATTTTAGCCGTGCCTACTATCGAGTCGCGCGCTGCAATTGCATGTTCATGCATCCACTCGCTATTGGCTGGGGGACCTTTTCACGCAAACCACCGTGCATTGCCCAGGCGGTGGATCGCCTACAGGATATCGAATTTGTCAGGATATCACCAAGTGCCTCACTACTCATGTTTTTGCCATCATCGACGCCGAAGGAACGGTAGTACTCCGGAGTGCTGTAGTACTGTACTTACTATTAATATGTACTCCAGAGTTACTGTACTCTGGAGTAGTACGATTTCGAAGTAGTAAGCTACTACATACTACTAGTAGTAATTATTAATAGGAGCATTAACTGTACTAGTAGTAATTATGAAAAGGAGCATTAACTGGAGCACAACAATCAGCCACCTACAAAAGCCCAAACTATGGAACCCCACACTACATAACCATCCACCACGCCTGGTCATTACAGAGAACAGCACCCGCGACGAATTAGAACCAATAGGTATGAACTTCAAGTCCTCGTGTACTAGTAATCGATAAGCTTACCACAATTACCGCTAATAACGTTATATATATTGTTCCTGAATATCTATAATCCACATGTATTACCTGTGACGAATCCCGTTGGCTTGAACAAACTGCAGACTTATTCGTAGACGAATGTACGTTTGACGCAGGAGTTTCCAGAGCAATGTTGAAATACAAATCACACTCACGAAAGATGAAATCGATCGATATAATAATAGAAAAATATATACCATTGAGCGGGATCAACCAGAGTTCATGAAATCGCCGT